CGGAACTTCATACAACGTATAGTTGTACGCATAGTGATATTGCCTATCATGAATATGATCGGTTTACTCAACAATACACAGTTGCTATGATTTATTAATCTATTTATTTGAAAATACCGTTAGCCCTCTCTTGAGGGCCATTAGAAAGAGGGTACAAGTTAAACAAAAATACAAAATACAATGCAGGCAACAGACAACAAAGAACATCTACTTACAAGCTATGCAAGTTTGGGGACCCAATTAAGTTAACAGCTGAGTGATGGAATGATCAAAGGATAGTAAAGTGGTTAATTGGACGAGTTGGCAATGATTGAACATGGGCAAAATTGCGCACAAATAGAAAGGAACAGAGGGAAATTGCGCTTGTCTCTTCTCTCTCCTCTGTTCCTTTCTGTTTTTGCACAATTTTAACCATGTTCGATCAAAGGACGACACAGTCTCTATATTCACAGTGTCGTTTGGTAGCAGGTTATAAGCCTCACTCGTTCTTACAAAATATTGTTGCTCAAAGGTGTCTATTCGGCATTAAGTTTTTGTACTGTTTTGAAGTGGTTAAGTCTGACTTTTTTTGTGCTTGTTAGTGGAATGTATGTATTTTGGCTCAAGTTAAGCTTGCCGTTAATAATAAAAAAATAGTAATTTTAAGCTTGCGCTATCTTGCCTTTTTTTGCCATATTGTAGATTGCTCGAACGGATCATTTCTGTTGGAGAGGCCATCCTCCAGTAGTTGGAATGAATAAAGCGAACAGCTTATCTTTGCACTTTATTCAATTTATCAATGGATTCTTTAATATAAGGGTCCCGCGTAACAATTCTAAGATGGGTCTTATGTTTGTTTTACATTCGACAGTTGATGATGTTGGTCCAAAAGTTGCGCAACCGTGCTCGGTGGTGCGGTTGAGTTTAGATATTCACAGAGCCATTGTGGCAGTGCTTAGTCCCACATATAAGTAAACACATTTGCAATTACAGAAAGAAAACAAAAAGAAAAAACGTCGCAGTTTTTATATATATATATATATATATATATTTATTTTTTTTTTTTTTGACAGAACATACAGAGGTTGCATGTATAGCTCAATTGCACTAAGCTACACTCTCCGGTAGCGATTCATGATGCGCTTTTTCTACACAAAATTTGCGTTTCTGGTTACGTGCGGTGGCACCGGCTGCACAATTTCTACGCGGGTTCAATGAGTACGCATGCCTCCTCTCTGTAAGACGCGCGGTTTACATAATAAATAAACGTACAAGCGATCGCAACATAAAAAATAAAAAAAAGATTATGACATTTTTTTGATACGTATATAACGGCTCCCAGCGTCCTGCAGTGCCTGTGTGACTTCCGACGACTGTGTCGGCTGCACTGCGAGAGCAGAACGAGCGTCTGCCACCGCTGTAGGAGCGCGACAGACCGCAGCCCCACACGTCTGTGACGTCACGAGCCAGAAAACGGAAGGTCCAAAACAACCGCGCTCTGTAAAAAGTGTAGCCACATTTCGTTTATAGGAACCGGGCATTCGTAACTCTATAGACCAGCAGTGTCCTATATCCTATCCCCCAGCGATAAAAATGGGAAATATTAATCTTAAATGGAGGCTCTTCCGAAGAAAGGGGCTGCGCAGAAAGCAATTATGATATCTGCTTTTTACGGCGTGACGTTCTTGCACTATACAACACGTGAGAAGTCTTCTAAAGAAACGGAGTCTCGCAAAGAGCGTAGATTGTCCCCCTACTGCATCAGGGCCGTCAGCACAAACAAACATGGCGGCGTCCATGCAACACAACAGACACTGACTATATACGCCTTTCCAGCGCTTATCACCCGTGCGAAAAATGCTAAGTCACTGGGCTGTGGGCGCACGCGCGGCGTCTCATATTCCGTGGAAGAGGGAGGGTATATATTAAGTGCCCGCCGGGAGTGGCGAATAGAAAAAAATATATTTTAAGCGGCAAGATGGCCGCCGTTCTCGCAGAGACATAGGATAGCTGAATATCTACTTTATGGAGTTACGACACTCAATCATCCCGTCGATTAAAATCATCACTGCCGGTTATCCTTACGTCTTATCTGCAATCGCGAGAAACGCTTTTTCGCCCACCAGAAATGCTTAAATATAGCCCTTGGCGGAAGAAAAAGAATATTGCCCGAATTTTCGGACACCGGTATCTATAAACTCTGGAACTTGCATTTTGGAGCTGTAGATGCCGCCTATCGCGTCCTCTCTGGAGTCTGTACTATATGCACCCCACAAGACAGTCGGACAATGGAATGTCGGTATACTCTAAAGCGGCGCTCA